TTGATCTTGGGAAACCTCAATACCTTTTGCTCTTCCTTGCTGTTCCATATGTTTGGATTCTTCTCTGAAATAAATTCCAAACATCAAGGAAGGTCCATTATCTAAAACTGCAGACACTAACTGATGGAAATCATGGGGAGTAGCTCTAGCATTAGAAGCCCAAGTCCTTATCATTTCCTTTACATATGCATTGTGCAGGCCAAAATTAACAACAGCTTGCTTAATTTCTTTCAGATCATTCATTGCTATTGGCGTCCATCTAGCTTCTCTGACTCCCTTTGAGCCTTTAGAAGTTGATGCTTTTTCAGAATTAAGTATAGGGTATGTCGCTAGAACCCTGGGTAAGCCAGTTCTAATAGCTGGTGGAGGCCTTGTATCCTGTCCTTGTGCCTCCTTACTCTGTTCACCAGCTGCAATAATTTCCCCAATCTTTTCAAATCTTTTTATCATTGTCTCTCTTAAATCCTGAATCTCCTGACCTGTATATATTTCCAGTGATTTCACTGAGGTATCAATTTTTTGGTCCCCATTCTGCACCTGTGATTCCAAAGCTTTAATTTTTTCCTTCAAAGATAACATGTCCTCCTTAAACTTTTCTTGTATATCATGTAGATTCCCATCTTGGAGGTACATTCTGTCTGTTACCTTATCAAAACTTTGTGATAAAGTCTGAACGTCAAATTCAACAGCCTGAACCCTTTCAGGTAACTTTCTAATACCCTTGGATATGGAATCAATTTTGTCTGTCATAGTATCCACTTGTTCAGATAACCTCTGATTTTCAATAATTTTAATCCTGTCAATTAGTTGTTCATTATTAGTTCGTAAAGATTCTATCATTCTTAGGAGTGCCATATTCTTCTGTTCATTATTAGTACGTAAAGATTCAATCGTTCTTAGGAGTGCCATATTCTTCCTTAATGATAGAATATGGAAAAGAAAACTGAAGGCTAGTAACAAGCAAATTAAGGTATCCCCATAATCATATAAACCTTGTATGATGTAATTCATTGTATTAGTAAATATAAATTTACTAATCCATTGTATTAGTGAAAACAAAGCAGTAAAATTTACGTTAGAAACAAAAACTGCAATATTACCTATTATCCAGCAGGTGGCGCTGTTGCAGAGTCGCGGTGAAAACATGGTCCTGTTTCAGTGCCTTAGTAGATGTTAAAAACTGGAAAATTCAAGTTTCTCAACAAAATAAATCTAATTAAATCAATTCCTGAGACGGAACAAGTCACCCTGAGGGGTTGCAGCTTTCAGCAATCACGTGCTCTGGTTCGTGCCACTTAAGAGCTGTACTTGCAAGGGAGATTTAAAAATGACTCAGAAAAGAGCAAACCACGCGGCCAGAGACTACGCGGGCCTGTGAAGTTTAAATCCACGTGGGGAGTCCAAGGCCGCTGGCGGCTGAGGAAGGGGAGGGCTCCCGCCAAGCCGAACTAGAGCCCGCCAAGCCCGCGGCCGCCAAGCTGAACTTGCGCCCGCCAAGCCCGCAGCCGCCAAGCCGAACTTGGGGCCGCCAAGCCGAACTCGCGGCTGCGAGTGGGGAAAGGAGAGGTTCTAAAACCAAATGTTGGGCGCCAAAATGAAGGCGTAAGTCACAAACAATGCCACACCAATTCGGGGTTATGATTATTAGGGTGGTATTTATTTAAAGGGGAAAAAACTTACAGATCACTGTCCCAGGCAACAGCCCTCTTTGCAACCAGGAAAGGAGTCTAGTCGCAGGCGGAGCAGGAAGTGAAGAGAGAGAGAAGAGGGAAGTGGCCGCTTTTTTAAAGGGAGAGAAACCACGCCCCAGTGGGCTGGTACCTCAGCGGTGATAGGCTGGAGGAGTGGGAGGACCTCCCGCAACAGTAAAAGATATTCCAGTTTTAGCCATGTTGGTATGTAGAATTCATTCTTTGAAGCACTCACTTCACTCCAAACATGCACCATTAATAGAATTAGAATAAAAGGGGGCAGAGTGAAATAAGGGAACTATTTGCACAGAGCAGAAATGGGTCAAAAGTACAGTGTTACAACTGTGGCTCAAGGCACAGGCTTGGTCAAGAAGTGCAGCTGCAGTTCCAATGTCTGTGGCTAAAAACACTCTTGAAGTTTTATTGAAACGATCTAGAATTGCTTTGGATCTGATGGAGGGCAGAAACCAGACTCGCACCTGAGTGCCATGGGCTGTAGAACATTTCTCATTCATTATAAGGGACTAGAAAAGATTATTGCCAATGTCTGCCTGACATCATAGCTTTTTTGGCAAATTTCAGTTCTGGGATTTTGAAACATATCGGTTGTTTAGTGTGCTTGTGCCCCACTTATTCTGATATCACATAAGACAGGTGCCCCAGAGTCAGAGAGCTAGGACAGGATCCCAGAGTGCGGAGCCCACAGGCCAGGTTAGGTGAAGGCAACATAAAACCATTAGAATAGACTGAGTAGGAAAGTGCTAGGTGTTATCTTCAGCTTCTTTTTAAAACTGAAATGCTAAGCTCAGTTCCAAAGCAAACAAAGAAATATTCAGCTTCTAAAGCTACAGCCAACAAAACCGGCAGCATTATCTTACCTCAAGTGTGATTAGTTTTGCAAGAGAATAAGCAAAAGACTTGAAAAGAAACAGTTCCGAAATTTTTTTTAAAAAATGATTTTCATTTTAAAAGAGCAAGAAACGTGTGAAACCACAGAGAAAGAAGAAACATTATGGAATGTGATAAACGAGCAGTTTTGCAGGTAAACACATGGACAACAGTTTTGGCCTCCACTTGGAGAGTTCCATAAATATAGGAAGGGACAAAGGTGTCTGAGTGACATTCAAGCATGGCAGATGTCCATGGTCTCAAAGATGAACCCAGATTGGTGTTTTAAATGCTAGTCCTGGCCATACTAGCGATTCATCACCTGGAGATTTAAAAACATTCGTTGCTTGTTAAAATGCAAATTACTGCAGCTCTGCCAATTACAGCTCATTAACTAGAATATTGGAGGCTGTGCTCAGACATCTAGTGTTTTACTTTGAAAGATTCCCCAGTTGATTCCTCTGCATACAGTGTTTGAGAATCTCTGATGCCATTGTATACTGACCTATAATTAAAAGTATGCCCTAAATGGTTATCTCTAGAACATTCTTGCAGCTTCACAGGATGCTCTCATTTCCTTTTGTTTCAATACATACACAATTTAGCATTTTTTTTCTTTCTTGTCTTTGTATGTCACTTTTAATTTCCAATATCCTGGTAGAGGAGGGAGAAAAAAAGTTGAAACTGAAGATCAGTCATTGTCACATTTGTAAAACATGTGGCCTCTACTTCACATATCCAAAGGATAATACAGTGGCATGTAATACATCCGAAAGAATATTTTGACATCATTTTCTTTTGTTAGAAATGTATCAAACATCTTCAAATTGGCCATGTAATTTAAATTATTCTTTACGTTGTATGATTAAATATTCCATTTGTTTGGTTTGTTGTAGGGACTATTAACTTCTTTTTCCTTCTGGAGTTTTCCCTTTTTCTGACAGTTTCTAATGGATGTTTTATAACATCCTGAATTAGACTGGATGGATGCCTTGGCCTTGCCTCTATATATAATGCCAGAAGTTCTGTTCTATTTGGTGCAAAATGGTGTTATTTTATTTGACTAAGGTACACAGTTATCCCAATAGGAAAAAGAACAACTATTATAATGAATGATGTATTTTTACCATGCTTGAGATCACATACTCCTGGCTGCCAAGATTGGACATTTCATTCTGACTCATTATTTTCATGGATTCTTCTTAACCTTGCCTGAAATCTTGGACCTGCCACCTCTCAGTTCAGCTTTAGTTTCCTTTGTTTGCTAGAGTACAGACTTGGAAGTAGACAATCCCTAGAGGCCTACGGATCTGACATATCCTTCCTTCCTTTTGCTTCAAGATTCAAGTTGTCCTGGGATGATAATGATGGCTTGGAGAAAGCAGAAATTTTTTGGAGTTAGCAGGAATTCTGGAGGGAGCCTGAGCCTGCCTTGTCTGTAAGACAGATTAGCCAGGAGTCCTCCCTACCCTTTCACCCAAGGTTATTTTCCACTCCAGAATTAGAAAGCCAGCCAAAAGCTGCCCCTTGCATAGATATGGGCAGTAGGCATGAGGTGATTTCAATTACTGGTCTAAATTTAACTTGCCTTCTGCCCGGAGGGCTCCAGCTCACAGCACATTTCAAACGCCAGAGCCACGGTCAAATGGACTTATCTCGGTTATGGTCAATTACATTTGTGGGTCGTTTTCAAGCAAGACAGAATCAGGAACTGGAATGGAGGTTGTGAAACAAGTGTGTGTTTTATCCCAAATGGGAAATGGTTATCAAAATAGTTATTACTTATCAAGTGAGCACAAAGTGCCTGGAAATGACGTTGATGGTGAGAGGAAATGGTCCAGCTGTGCTTTTTTTGGCTTTCTCTCATCAGTTCAATAGGAAAAATATTAATCAATGGGAAAAATGTTCCCTTTCTGTTAATTTAATCCACCAGTTTTAGAAGTATGGAAAATAGGACTACTTAAATAATTTTATGTCACAACTTCATTACATGGATTATAAAACTTTTTTAGAAAATGATCTTTTTTTTTACTTAAGCATCAAATGTACACTTACAGAAATGCTTTTGCTTCCTAATGGCACAGCTGAAAATCTAAGCTGGAGAAAGTTCCAGGGCTCCCTAAGGTCCCGGAGTAATTATGTAGAATAGTAGAGGGAATAGACCCAGTGACCCTTTGTCATTTGCCACTGGACACCACCTTCTTTCCCATCAACAGGGAATTAGCAATTCCTCGTAAAACAAATTTCCGATGCTTCTCCTTGGAGACAGAGTTTACATTCCGTAATTGAGTCTTCCTGATTTCTACCTTTCTCTCCTTAGAGGTAACAAACAGAACGTGTAGCTCAGAAGGTTTTGACCTCGCACCCTCTTCACAAGTGAGCCTTGAGTGAACCACGCCTGCCATGTTTCTTTTGTTCTAGGTGATGAGGCTCCGCAAACTAGCTCAGCAGATTGCAAACTGTAAACAATGCATTGAAAGGTCGGCATCACTCATATCCCAAGCTGAACACTCTCTGAAGGAGAATGACCATGCCCGGTTTCTACAGACAGCAAAAAATATCACTGAGAGGTGAGTGTAGGGACAGCTAGGATGTTTTCCGGCTGACTTGCTTGTGTCTGGGTGTGACTGGTTGGCCTTGCCCTCAACTGACTTTTTTTATCTCATTTTCTAGGTTGAATAACAGAGAGAATAAAGCCTGAGGCTGTTTTGCTACAGCTAAGGACACTTACTTCCCTTTGAAGTAACAAACCCTTTCTACAACAGCCTAGAGTTCAAGGTCTTCATTGCAGCTGCTGTTCACCAGTTAGAAGAAAATCAGCCAGTCTGTGTGTGGAGAGCAGGGTACAGAAACAGCATTCGTTGTGATTCTCAAACTTGATCTTATCATAGCCTTGGTAACAAAGAATGGAAATGCAGGCAAACACATAAAAGGGCAGCTTATCTTCCAGTCCTTTTGTCTAAAGAAAACAACTGCACAGGTGCTGTTCTCTGTTTGCCTTAGGTTTTTACTTTACTTGGCTGAGAAGGTTGACGCCACCTGAAAAGGCCAGGACTGATTTACACGGGAGAGAAAGGACAGCAGCCAACCTCCCACTGCCTTCTTTTCAAATAGCCTCTATTCCTAGGGAGGAAACCCAGAAATGATGTTGCTTGTGTAGTCAGCTCATTGGTAAGATTAGCGAAGATGGATCTTCTCTTGGTATATTAATTTATTCAGCATAGAAATTACTCATTTCTCTTAGCATAGATTCATGTCATTAATCCAGTGGGTTCAAAGAGAAACACTCGGCTGGCCTGAATAAACGGCATCTCTAGAAAACACCAAACACCTTTATTCTACATTGTTTCTAATTTTCAACTGCCCTTTATACCAAACTCTATCAGAATTGTATTACTGAAAGACCCCAGAGAACTCATTCCTACTGGCCTCTATCCTAGAGCAGACTGCCACACTGTTCCGAGAAGTAAACTATTTTCAGCTTTGCCGGCTCTAAAGGATCTAGCACAGCTACTTACTGCTGCCCGGGTTGCTCCACATTAGCCAGAGGGAACAAGTGGGTGTGGCTGTGTGCCAAGGAAACCATTCACAAAATAATCTGCAGGTGTTCCCTGACCAACCCGTGGTGTTAATGGGGAAACATGCTCACCATTTTAAGGCTTAAATTTCTTCAAAGGAGTAGAAAGAAAACTAACACTTACAGGTGCTTGCTTGGGTCAGACTCCATTTTCCCCATTCTCTAAGAGTATACAGTATTTTCATAACCCTGGTCTCCTATTGGTCTGCCAGCTTCACTGTTTTCTTCTTATATTTGAGAAAAAAAATCCTTTTGCAGCTAATTAGCTACTTATCTCCCATAAAAGACACGAATAATGGGCTGCCCTTAAGACACTCTCCTCCCTTTTACAAGAAAGTCAGGTTTCTTTACTTGTGGCTTCCTAGATTTCAAGTCCAATTTCTTATTCTATATTCTCCTTAAAAAAAGTAAAACTTAAACACCACTGCTTTCCAATGTACTCAATACTCTCTACAGATGGTTTACACCCAGGTAAGTGATCCCCACTGGCGTCCGAGAGTCCATTTCTCTGTTTTTGAATTAGGACAGATCCAGATAAAACAGCAACTATAAATGGCATTCCATGGCAACCCTTACAAATTCAACTGAATGAGTCCGAATAAATTTGCATCTAACTGGCAGAGAAAGTGACCAGTTACAATTAGAGCAGGTGAGGACCTGTATTTGAAGGACAGCACATGTCCCTCGTGCATACACATTCACACTGCCCCCCTTTGATCCTTGTCCCATTATTTTATCTTGTACCATCATCAGGAAAGGAAGGGTGACTTGTATCAGTTTCCATAAAGAACATGCTCTTGTCAAGTAGAAATACAGAAAACCTGTAAACATTCATTGGCAGACATTTGTGCCTCAGTTTCCACTGTCTCATCTCTTATTTGGAGATGAGTGGTATCAATCACCTAGATGTTCTGAAGGAATTCTTACCTATGTCAGTTTTACTTCTGAAACCACCATTCAGGGAGCAATTTTTTTACTTGGGAAATGTGCTCTTGGTAGCCATGCACATAATGATAACAATGCTGAAAATTCTTTAGAGTAACATAACAGACACTCGGGAAGTGCTAGCTGAATGGCTATCTTAATCCTTAGGTGTTTCAGTTGACCTCTCGTTTTACCTTTTCCATTGTACTGGCTACCTGCTTCTATTCTGCAAGCTCTCACTTCAAATTCCTACAGTATGATTTCTGGGGTCTCTCTTCCAGTCTATCTGCTTTGGGTATTGACACTTCAATATTTTACATCATTTTTATTCAAAATGTAGAACCTAGAACATACTTTCAATCATGCAGGCATTCCTAAAGTGAGAATGTGTCAATAAAACCATTCACAGAACAACCTGGTGTGTTCGATAAACTGAATCAAAATTGTATGAACATTTTTTTTCAAATAAGAGACATTTAAATAAATCCACAGTGCAGCAAGAGTCCCAAGCCTTACGTTATGGGAGATGTATCTCCTTTGGAATCAACTGCTTGGGTCTGTCCTAGTTACTTAGTTATTATGGATAGAATCAGGGCTTCTCATTAACATTTCTGAGTCCAGTTTTGCATACATGCTTCAAATATGCAGGAATCTAGCCATCTTGTTTTTCACATTGGTAGCCTCAGTGTACTGAAAACTGTCTGACATGGGTGAATTACTTAATCTATACACAGTGTATTTATTTGTAGTTATTCCTACAAAATAGGGTTGTTGTAAGCATAAAATAAATACAGAAATAAAAACAGCCCAGCTCTTGCCACAAGGTTAATAGGCAACAAAATCCCTACTTTCCTTTTCCCTGCACAGCTCCATATATGATGTAAAGCACATTGTTTTCAAGCTGCCATTGATGTGATTACATAGTGTCCTTTTGGGGGATACGTTAATTGAGCAGAAGCAGTCAATAAATCCAGGCATAAGAAACTTCATGCACTCTTTTCAAGGAATCTAAAATTACTTTTAGCAACAACAGGATGCTAAGAAAGTTCCTTCAGAATGGAATGTTCAGATCACCTAGAAGTTTCTCTACTGTGAGGTGATTCCTTTATTTTTTACCAGCACAGATGGATCAAGGATCTGCCAGGCTTTTCTGAAAACAGACAGAGAAGAATTCCAGTTGGCAACTCTGGAGATGTTACTTGGGTCTAAGAGTCAGAGCACATCCAATGTGTGGGTTTTGAAATGCTATCTGCAGGGTGTTGATAAGTTAATAGATGTTATAACAACACTACATTTCCAGGGCCAAATATTTTTGGGAAATCTGGAGCTGACCAAAGTTGAACACATTCTGTTTCTGTGGTACCTTGATGTTTTTGACCACGGTGGTGTGTGGTGTTTGGCAAAAGCCGATGAAGTGTGTCCCTCTGGACATATCCACCTTCTGGAATACTGGCCCTGAGTGATTAACAACTGAGTGTTCTGTAGATTAGAGATACCAAGGCACAGAAAGACATGTAGGAGTAATGAATAATGGACAGTCCCTCTACACACACACACACACACACACACACACACACACACACGGGCACACATATACACAGAGTGAGGGGTGATGATAGATTAAAAAAATAAGAAAAAGCCTAGAACTAACAACCCCCAATGGATGTTGGCATCATAAAAAAAACAGAAGATGGACAACAAGGATTTGGGGGGAAAACATGCCCTAAAATGTTGAGTTTGGCAGATTTCCCCTTACCTTTCACTCCAGTTGAGGATTTGAAATTTTAGCCAAAGATAAGTAGCTCTCCTTCCACCAAGGAAAGAAAACCTGCAGATGTTAAAAAGCTGCAGTAATGTCTGAAAATTTCTTCTGTCAGTCTTTGCCTCCCAGGCTAGGCACTATCTTCCTTCTGCTTCCCACTCAAAGTTTCCATGTCAAAATGGTAGGAGCATTTACGATGTCATTTGAAAAAAGATACATTTTACTTTATTCTTTGTTGACCCCTGAAACCATGCAAATTTGGGAACACAATCTGTATTGGATGTGTCTGGACAAAGAGGCTTCTGCCTCCAAGAAGGGAACTAATAAAGCCAGATTATCTGTCTTCAGAGCAGTCTCATCAATTGATACAAGATCTGGATTGCAAGAAAGTCTAAGGGAAAGGCTATTGTAAATTTGGTACTTGCTTCCTATTAACTTGGCCCAGTTCTCCCAGTTTGGGATTATGAGACAGAACTCATTGAGGTTTTTTTTTTTTTAATTTTATTTTGAAATATTTTTAAGGCATGCAAATGGTACTAGGTCATTCCTTTGAAGTTTTCTGCATTGATGCAAATATTTTGGACTCTTCAGTATATGGCACACTTTAAGGGCTTCATAAATATTAGGTGAATATTGGTTAAAAGTAAAGTTTAATTAGCTGTATCCACCCAGCTACATTAGCTGTTGTAAGTATCAATAATTAATTCAAGTCCCTTCAATGTCATATTTAGTCAACAATTTGAAACAAAGCTCTTATTCAGTCTTTGTGAACTAATCAGGTGACATTACATTGTCTACAATACTTTTTACACTTGAATATTTCTTTTTTTTTCTTTTTTTTAATTTATTTATTTATTAAGGATTTCTGCCTCCTCCCTGCAACCGCTTCCCATTCCCCCCCCCCATCAAGTCCCCCTCCCTCATCTGCTCGAAGAGCAAACAGGGTTCCCTGACCTGTGAGAAGCCCAAGGACCGCCCACCTCTATCCCAGTTTACATTGTCTTAGACTTTCATCCTATTAGTAATCGGATTAAGACATTGCAGTTTAAACAATTTCCTGTGTTCCCTAGATAACACTGACCTTTTGCCAGAGCTACAGCTAGAGAAACTGTATTGGCGGTCATTTTACATGTGTATTCTCTTTTATTGTCATGAAATTCACATAAAGTCAAATTAACTGGTTAAAGAGTACAACTCAATAGCTATGCCTATTCTGAATATTTTATAGGAATAGACCATATGATTCTTTACCTTTTGTCCCTATTTTTTTAAATACAAAGTTTGCATGGTTCATCCATATTTTAGCATGTGTAATCCTCCATTCCTTTTTGTGGCTGTGTACTATTTCCATTAGATGCACAGACCCCTGGGTGTGACTTTATGGCCAAGATAGGGTCTTTGTAAAAACCCAAAGCTTCAAGAGTTACTAAAATCCACAAGAGTGCATAGTGATTAGGATAACTTGCTGGAATCTAAATTTTCTCATGAAATGAAAGAGTACCCACCGAAGTCCTCCTGATTGTTGCCACCTAGCTCTGAGATCTTGTGCAAATGACCATCAGTGCTCTTTACAAGAAAACAAGTAACTAGATTCATAGCTAAGTCATTTCAACATTGTTGGTTTTTTTTTTTTGCAAAAATAAAAACATAGTCTCCTAATGTTTATGGAACTCAACAAAAAACTTGAAGCACATCAAGATTAAAGCCTAGCATAGTTTTTTATGCTCAAAAGGAGAGTTCTTCACGCCATGGTTTTCTTGGTTTTAAGATAATTACTTGCATTTTGAAATCCATTAGAATGCTCTGCTGTTTGTAACTGAACTTTCCAAATCAATTCAAAAGCCCATAGGAAATAGACACATATACCTTGCTTTATAGTTTATGTATGGGAGCTCTCACCAGAAAACATGAGTGTTGAGAAGAAATTGTGTGCCTACTGGGGAAATTTGTGAGAAAACTTATGAATATTTTCCATGGCATCTGCTGGGAATATGGTGCAAAAAATAAATGAATAGAAGAAGAAGAAAAGAGAGCCAGACAAAACCCCCTTTTAATGTTTATTTTAGAGAGAGGCTAGTAATTGATTAAACTAATCCAATATCTGGAAACATTCTTTTTTAATCTTCACTTTGCCTTTTATGCAGTTTGAAATTTGGGAGACTTCCCTTTGAAGTGGAGCAGGGGCGAGTCTGAAAGGAACAAACAGTTTCCCAGACAGATGTGTGAAGAACTGCCTGGAGCTATGTGCTTCTTGCTGGGGTTAGATGTGACTGGGCCAGGCTGTTAAATACACAGCAACATGAAATATGAATATTCTTTTGCTTCCATGGGGGATTTTTCCGATAGTATAAAGGAAGGGGGGTACTGTATTATTTCTCCCACTCCCTTGGCTTTTTCTGTAAGTTTGCTTTGTGTTAGTGTACTAGGCCGTTCAGAGATGGTATTTTATTAAAGGCCTGATATGTCTTTTCCTTTTATTTTTTTTTCTCATGTCTTCACCGTGATGATAAAAGCCACCTCGACATTCCTTAAAACAGTGTTTTGTTTAAATTACAGAGTCTCCATGGCAACTGCATCATCCCAGGTCCTAATTCCTGAAATCAACCTCAATGACACATTTGACACTTTTGCCTTAGATTTTTCTCGGGAGAAGAAACTGCTAGAATGTCTGGATTACCTTACAGGTATTGTCTTACTGTCTTTTTTGTTCTGTCTAGTGTACATTCAGTGACACAAGTACTTTGCCACTAGATCAATTATTCTCTAAAAAGCAAATGTGTGCTTCAAGCTTTGAAATGCTACCTAATAGTCCTATAAATGATTCATGTACACTTTATGCTGTTTTAACCCAAATAACACAGACTAAGTACAAATTGGGGCAAGAAAATAAAGAGAATTCTGATTGCTCAATGTGTCCCTACCACCATTTTTCTGACTCTCAACATGGAGATGGCCAAAGGAATAGCGCTGCAGGCCATCAAAAATATGTAAATATTCCATGGGGCATCTGACTCTCATAGTAGTACATTGATTATGGAGAAACAAAAGCAACTTAACTATCTGGCCATATATACCTCTCTAGTTCTTTGTAGCTGAGATCTTATCTTCGTTGTCACAGTATCAAATTTTGGAAAAACATTGTAATCCTCATTTTAGAAATGGTAAATTTTAGTTATGTTGTAGCTCAGCAAGAAAGGGAGTGTGAACAATTAAAATCTGGCTTAGTTCTGTAGGAACTGTGCAGATCCATGCACTTTCTAGTAAAAAACTGGATTTCATGTTGCTCTGGCAAATGTCACATAAATCATATCGCATTTCCAGATGCCACACTTCGACCTTATGCTTGCTTTCTACTTGGCTTTCCTCTCCCTTACTTTTCTCCTTCCCTTCTTTTTTCCTTTTCTCTCTCCCTCCACTTCTCTTCATTCCTTCATTCCATTCTTTCTGGCTTAGTAGACAATGAGGGAAACAAACAGGAAGAAAAAAAAATTGTGGCTACTCATATTCCTAGTAGTAAGTCTTAATCTTTCCTTTGCTGTTAGCCTTTGCAGCAGGAACTGGGCTCATTGGTTGGTAGAAAGAATGAGGACCATTTGGACAAAGTTATTTATGTTAGTCAAAACCACCAGGACCTGTGACTTCAGGAAAGCACTGTGTATACAGTGAAGCCAGATGTGCCCTGTACTTAGGACATAGAGCCTTCCAGAAACCACATCCCTAACTGAGCATGGTGTCAGTTTCTCAACTCCTAACCAGTATGTGCATGTTTGTGGGAGAGTGGTTGGGAGGGTGGAGTTGAAGAGAGGGAACATTGTGTAGCATTAGTTTGTATAGTGTGTGGCTAGAAAGCAAGGAGTTACCTAGTCCTCAATTTTTTTTCCTGTGAGACCCCCAGCTGTCCCCTTTTTGCCTTTATTCTGCATGTGCAAGAAGAGTGAGATATCCCACAAAATATCTCCTTATCTTGTACAATTCTCTCTTTCAAATGTATGGTAGAAGAAAGAATTTGACTCACAATGCATTTACACTAAGAAACCAAACTTGGTTTCAAATACTTATGGATAAGATGTCTCGTTTCTTCAGCTTTTGATTTTGAGATTTGTCTAAACTACTACCATCTAGTAGAACTTTCTGTAGTGATAGAATTGTTCTATATCCACAACAGCCAGCATATTAGTTACTAAAACCTTTAAATGTGTGTAGTGAGATGTCATTTTTGTAAAAAATTGAGCTAAATATAATTAGAAGTTAAACAGCTCCATGGTGCTCATAGCTACTGTATCACTATCCACATTTTTCTTTTCTGCCCTGACATCTTCATGTATTGTCTTTTCACAACATGAATACTCTATAAGTATCATGCTGGAGTTTTATTCAAAAATACAGGAGAAAAGAGGGAATAATGTTGAAAAAACTTGGCCTGCAAAGTATGGCCTTGTTTATCATAAAAGCAAAACTCTTGCTCGAAAGACCTACCTAGCAAATTTTCACTTAAGTCTCTTAGACCCAATGTCACAGGCTCATTTCCAAGACTGGGGGAAACTAGAAAATTAAATATTTGCTCAGAAACATGGTCTTGCTGTACCAAGTAATTTTGATGTACTTGTCTTGTCAACAAGAATGTGTCTTCATTTCCCAACAATTAATAGTATGTTCAAAAGAGATATCCATTTACGTTTTTCTGTAGGAACATGAACTCACTGACTAAAATGGAACATGCATGCCATATGTCATATGTCATCACAATGACTGCTTATGCCAAACTAAAGGTCATATCAGGTACCTGCAAATTTGCCTTTTGAGTCATCAACCCCCAAAATCAGACCATTTCTGGACATAACATCAATCCTGGCCATAACATACAATGCTTGGCTGATACTTCCAAGTCCAAATAGCTTATCTTATATTTATAAGCAGGAAACGAAGTGTTTGTGGCATGTTAGTTCGCCATTCCTTGTGTAGTGTTTGTGATGAAGGCAAGAAAATAACAGGTCTGGTACTGATTGTGTGGGTATTGAAATTGGCGCATGCTGCAGTTTTCATTTACAGAAAATTAGGAATTGACTTTGCAGGACAAACCTATTGGGTTTACAATCAAAACAGGGTTAGCCTTCCTGGCTGTGCAAACAAGATCTTTTTCCCCTATGACTTGCCTCTAAGTGGTATGTCAAGTTAATAACCCATAGAGGTGACATTTCCTTCCTGATTGCAGCTACTGCCATGTGTCTCATAGCCGCTTGCCTATTCTGAACTTATATTTTCTATTTAATCACATATTGCCATGAAGACAGCAAAATCTCTTTTCTTTCCACAATAGTTGATGGAGAAAGAATTCAGTTAACTATTTAAATTATGAAAGATTAAGTTGTTTTTCACTGATTCATACAGGGATGATACTATGGAAACAATGACCACACAGACAAAAACAAGCATGCTTTATGACACAGCTGGACCTGCATGGAATGCATCTCCTGATTGGTGTCACTAATTCATGCAAATCCAAGTCTCACCACGCAAAACTAAATTTCACATGTGGGCTCTTCAGAAGACAGATGTTCAAACACACATTTCCAGAAAAAAAATGTTTGAAGGGTTATAATGAATGCTTATCTATTTCTTTCCTATTTACTTGTTTCTCATTTGTGGATATAATTTTAAGATGGGAATCTACTATATAACCCAGGCTCTGCTCATCCTCACATCCTCCCTGTCCCTGCCTTCCAAGTATTGAGATTATAAATGTAAACCTTCAGACCCACCTGAGCCCCTTTTGTCTTTATGGAGAGTCTTTGTGAAATTCAATGACTAACAGGCAGAGCTTCTCATGACTTGTCCTAAATATCTTTTCAGGTGGCAAAGTGAAGACAAAGAGGAATTTTTAATTTACCATTCATATAAATGTTCTCCGCCCCACCCCTTGTTTCTTTACAATTCACCAGTTCTAATCAGAAACTAATCTAGAAAGATGTCCTGAGTAAATTGGGAGCATGGGGACTTTGGGGGATGGTTGAAGAGGGAGGGGAGACGCAGGGAGGGGAGCAGAAAAAAAATGTAGTACTCAATAAAAAATCACTTAAAAAAAAAAAGAAACCTGAAAAAAAAAAGATCTATGCAATGGTGTAAGTAAAAGTTGTTCTAAATCCATAGAATGCAAACACACCTCTCACTTTGAAGTTCAGCTCCAGTACACAGAAGAGTGTAAAGAAAAGCTGTGATTCAGTTCTCTAAACCGCAGACTGGTAAACTTCAATGGAAAATGGCCAGATGTCTTAGGCTTTGTAACTACTCAGCTTTGCTCCTGTGCGGAAATAGCCATAGACAGATAATATGTGAATGAATCAAGGCTGGATTCCAATAAAACTTTATTTACAAAATTAACTGATGTGGGCTGGAAAGGTGGTTCAGTGGTTAAGAACAACTAACTGCTCTTCCACAGAACCAAAGTTTGATTTCTAGCACCCATATAGTTTTTCAATATTGTCTGTAACTCCCATACTAAGGAATCTTATTCCCTCTTTTGGTTTTCATAAGGACTACACAAACATGATGTATGGACATACATGCAGGCAAAATATATATGTATATAAAATAAAATAATAAAAATATAATTATAGTTTGCTGAGCTCTCCTTTAAAATATTATTGCTAATACAAAACACTTGTAGCCTTGTATTTTCTTATTTATTCTACTTATTAAATGACTTATGGAAATTAATTCAGTGTAAGTAGTTTAGAAATCATTGCTGTTTTAATATGATTTAAAATTCTCAGGTGTTGATTATGTTAAAACAAATAAAACAAAGGGCTTCTGTGGTGATAAAGGTAACCAAATGCAAGCATTTGTGATTTTCTTAGTATATAAAATGCATTTCTAAGAGGACTGTTTGTTAATTGTGATATTTTTAATTAAACATATCACCTGCAAAATAAAAAGTGAAAAGGATAAAATAGGAGTGCACCAATAATTTTAGCAAGGTATCAAATAGCTAAAAAAAATTTCAGTTGTTTAGTTGATTTGCTATGGGATAACAAATAATGATATTTTTCAAAAATCTGCTATCATGTACATAAGTGGGTTTCAGGCCAAATCTGTCCCTGTGCTTATGTTGTAAATTCAGTTTTACTAGAGTATGGCCATATTCATTTATGAACAAATTATCTACGTATGCTCTCATGACACAATGGCAGAATTAAGTAGTTGCAATAACAACAGTCTGGCCTAAAATATCGAAAATTTCTACCATCTAGTCATTTATGGCAAAATTTTCACCACTCGTCAAAGTGAATGGGATTATGAAAATTTGTTTTGGTTACTTTTTCTATAATGTGTTTCTCTTTACATACAAGAAGCTATTGTTTGCTTAGTCTCCTAAATATACTCTAATGATAAATTGAGATAAAGTCTTATTTGCTGGCAGACTCTAGCCACACTGCTTACAAACAACAGACAAACAAATTCCAAAAGTATACAACTAAATGTTGTCTGAGGTTTTCTGTCCTACCCAGTTCCTGCAGTTGTTATGTCCCAAAAGAAAATCACAGAGGTCTGTATCAATGATAAACTGATTGGCCCATTAGCTCAGGCTTCTTATTAACTCTTATAACTTATATTAATCCATTGTTCTTATCTATGTTATCCACATGGCTGGGTACCTTTTTCAGCAGGGTAATCACATCTTCCTTCTTCTGTGGTTGGGACAGGACTGGGGAGGTGTGGGCTTCATCCTTCCTAAAATTCTCCTGTTCTCCTTGTCCCCCCTCTACTTCCTGCCTGGCTACTGGCCAATCCGTGTTTATTTAAAATTTAATTGATAGAATACAGAATTGTCCTGCACCAACTAAACACTTTGGAACTGAAATCCACATCTCTAGTATCACAGTCCTGATAGGCCAATTTAGGAATACTTTCTTTTACAGCTAAATATCTCCAGAATGTGTTCCAATGTTGTCTGCTGCTCTACTGATATGCATTCTTGATGCCCACAGCTCCCAACCCTCCCACAATTAGAGAAGAGCTCTGCACAGCTTCCTATGACACGATCACTGTTCACTGGACTTCAGATGATGAGTTCAGTGTGGTCTCCTATGAACTCCAGTACACCATATTCACTGGACAAGCCAATGTTGTTAGTGAGTATCACATGGCTGATTTACTTCTCAGTTTGATGACTGTTTTCAGGAAAACTGGGTAAAGGAATGTAAACACTAAAGGTAGATAAAGATGGAAAAATTATGATATTTATCGGTTTCTTTTTCCTACTCAAGGAAGGGGAAATGTTCACTTATATTGAAGTAGTGAAAACAGCTGGTCAAACATCAATGGAAAATTACATGGATGAAGTACCTGAATATGTTGGTTGATGAAAAAAGCTGGTAACAACATATACAGAATAAATCTATTTATCAATTCATAACTTAAAGATCAAAATAATTTTGCTGAAAGGTACATTATTAGAGGCTACAAATACAAATATTAATCAAGATGTTGATTATATCTTGAATGGGATATAGAAAGTGTCACTGGGAAGAAATAGATGATGAAACTAGGAATACAGATGTCAGTAAAAATATTTGTCTTACAAACATGAGGAACAGAGTTTTGATCTGTAGTACACATGTAAAATAGCCAGGCATGATGACATTTATCTGTAATTCAAGTATTGGGGAAGAATGAAGACAAGAAAATCAAGAGTTCAGTGGCCAACCAGTATAACCTAATCTGCCAGTCACAGATTCAATGAGGACTCTGGGTCAAAAAACAAAGTGAAGTTGGATAAATGAAGACACACAGTGTTGACCATAGAGTCCACATACACTTGCAGCTATGTGTACACACGTCCATACCCACACACAAAATATATTACTATATATATATATATATATATATATATATATATATATATATAATATTGTATATATGAATGTATATGTGATGGTTCATAGGATGAACACCAATTTCTGGGTGGTAGTTAACATGCTTTACTCATTTTATCATGCATTTAGTTTTATAAACTTTTGTACATAATTGTTTCAGTTTTCAAAAAAGGGGGAAAAAGAATTTAGTAAAATGAGAATGCCAAGTACCTGGTCCTATTCAGAGGTTGTTTAGGCCTGACACTTCAAATCTTAGTAAGTAGCACCTGCGAGGAAGAATTCGGTTTATCTGAAATGCAGGGGCCCTCCTCTGTCACTGTTGTTTGTTTGATATTTGACATTGTGAATGTTATGACCAACTCAAACAGCAATAGCTGCCCATAATGTTTAGAACAGAGTTATGTAAGTTGAACTGAACAAATGGCAAAATGCTAGAAGCAATCACTTTCCAGGAGAACAAATTTGAAATTTAGTTTCTTAGCTTCCATTTCTGTGATGAAGCACCATGACTAGGAGCAACTTGTGGAGGAAAGGGTTTATTTCATCTCACAGATTACACTTTTCCATTCAAGGAAGTCTTTGCAGGAAGTCAAGGCAGCAACTGATGCAGAGGCCATGGAGCAACACTTTTACAGGCTTGCTCTTCATTCACTCTTCCCGCCTTGTTTAGCATACTTTTTTTTCTTTTTTCTTTTTGGTTTTTCGAGACAGAATTTCTCTGTGTAGTTTTAGTGCCTGTCGCTCCTTGTGGTCTTGAACTCACAGAGATCGGCCTGCCTCTGCCTCCCGAGTGCTGGGATTAAAGGCATGCATCATCACCACCAGGCAAACATGCTTTCTTATAGCACTCAGGACCACCAGCCCAAAGGTGGCACTGTGAACAGTGAACTTGGCCCTCCTATTGCAGTAAATAATCAAGAAAATTCCCACAGACTTTCCCATGGGCCTACCTATTGAGTTATTTTCTCAAGTAAAGTTCCTTCTGAAATGACTCCAGTTTGTGTCAAATTGATGTAAAACTAGCCAGCATGGTAGTAAAAATAGAGAACACATCAAAGTAGAATACAATAGCAGTCACTTTTCCACAGAGATGTTTTGAATACATCCATATCAGCTTAATGTGTTTTTTATAAGAAACCCCTTCCCTCTCAGCTTTTCCTTCATAGTACATATACTTCTGAAGTACATGGTGCTTTAAATAGAAGTGTGGTTGAAGATTAATTATAAGAGTGATACAGAAAGACGTTTAGCTTCACAGTGACAAAAGTGCAAATGATCCATCTGCATTAACGCCAATGTAGACACTTTTCTCAGATCTCTCTCTCTCTGTCCCATCTCTCTCTCTTCCTCTTTCTCTCTCTTATTCTCTTGTCCCCTTCCTTCCTTCCTTCCTTCCTTCCTTCCTCCTTCCCTCCCTTCCTCCCTCCATTCCTTCCTTTCTTTCTTCTTTCCTTCCCTCTTTATGCCTTCCCCTAATTTGTTTGCCTTTGGAAACACTCATAAAATTCTTGCGATTTTCTAGGTATGTGTAATTTATGAATAGAAGACTGATTCATGAATGTTATGTCAAGGACAGTTTGGGCAACTGATTTTGTAGGTAGTGACAAGAGAGGAGTCAAAAGTAGATGTGACAATAAGGCCTTGGGGAGGAAGTTCCAGTTAAACTTACTCACGAAATGTTGTTGCCACATGGCCGTGATATAAGGATATTTGCAGATAGCTGTGTCTATCTGCAGATGGCTGGATCATAAGTAAAACCCACAGAGAGTAAAGTAGTGGAATATACTGAAAGATTGTCCTTGATGCCTGGCTGGAAATTTCCATGAGGAAGGGAAAGTAGGGGAAAAGCAGAGTGAGAAGCATAGCCATGGAGCTGGCTTCAGAAAGCATATGTTCTTGGCCTTCACTCATACTCAGAGAGTAGTGCTAGGTCACAGAAAGCTGTTCAGGTCATCCCACACTTGAATTTTATTTTTATTTTTTTAAACATTTTTATGGTTTATTTAACTTTATTTTATGTGCATTGGTGTGAAGTGTCAGATCCCCTGGAACTGATCTTCAGACAGTTGTGAGCTGCCATGTGGGTGCTGGGAATTGAACCCAGGTCCTCTGGAAGAGCAGTCTGTGCTCTTAACCACTGAGCCATCTCTCCAGCCCCCCACACTTGAATTTTATGTTGGAGAGTCCTGTTCATGTGAGCAATCCGAACATGATTTGTGCCAGCACTGAAGAGGGGACAGAATGTGCTAGAAGCAAAGAGAACAGTAGGCCTTTCGTGGCAACTCACTAAAGAGTAGGGTTAGAGAGAGAGAAAGAAAAAGAAAATAATAAATAATAAAAAATAATAAATAAATATTTTTTTTTAAAAAAAGAGTAGGGTTAACCAAGATCTCTAAATGGCACTCAGCTGAAAAGACTCCTCAGCCTGGAGCTGATTTAGTCCAGAAACATCATCACTGTCTTTTTCTTGCTCTGAATGCCTTTTGAGACAAATCTAAGTAGCATTCCTCCTAAGACTGTGAATTCTTCTGAAGTAATTCTTCCCCAGTTGTATAGGTCTTGCTGCATGGCATTAATAAATGTCAATTTTCTACCTTCCTGTACATTTTATGCCATATGTGGATATTTAATTTTTTTAAGTAAATGTAACAAGAGACCATTCTATTTTGGCACAAATAGTTGCCGCATTTCTTCCTGAAGCAGTATGGTGTCTTGTTTCAAATCTGTGCTCTGATTTATCTGCCACATCTTCTACTGATGAACATTAGCTCTTTTCTAATGTCTGCAAACATTGCCCCCAATGGATATCCTTGCATATTTTCCCTTTCATGCATGCAAAATTATATTTCTAGTATAATCTCTTGAGATTTTGCTAAGAAGAGATTATTTGCATTTTAATTTTGATTGACATTGCCAAATTGCCCTTCAGAGAGGTGACAGGTGATGTTTAAAATGCATTTTAGCAGCTGTAGGAGATACATTTCACTGATCTTGGACATATGTACTATAAGCTAAATGTAAGAAATCCAATTCAAAGCAAGGTAAACAAGTATTATCTACAGGATGACATAATAAATCTAAGGTGTAACTTAACTAATAAAGAATCCATAATACATTAACCTAAACACTGCTATATTATATAGTATAGAAGAGAAAACACAAAAAAACAGAATAATGGCAAATATATTTTTTATTCACTGTAGGAATTATTTTGTATTATATTGCTGTTATTGTATTATATTTTATTACTAATTATATTATAAATAATTATATTACAGATGCTTATAACAGTTTTTAATGTATCATATTGCTAGTAACTAAGCTAAAGATTGCATCAGACTTAAAGATTGAATGCAAAAGATGGCAAGAACATGTGGATAAGTGAATGTTATATATTATATAAGTGAACATTTGATAAGTGAATAATGTAAGTAGAAAAAAAAAATTGGAGTTATTTAATTCCAAAAGGGAAGCTCTTGGTCCATGTGAGGAATGTTGTATTTCTCTGAAACAATTTTTGTTTGAGTGAGAATAATTATTCATTTTCTTTTTAGCAGGATTATCTCCATCATAGCTTCTTACATAGCCCCCATGTAAAAGGCTCTCCTTGAATGCTGTCTGTCCATCTGTCCTATCCTTTGATGGAATAGCTTTCATTGAGAACATCTATTGGTAAAATGCTACTAAAAACTGGGAAACATTTTCAAAAGCTGCCCAGAACTCCTTGTGCCACGAGACTACCTTTGATTGTTTCTAGGTCACGGTTCCACCACTTGTTGTAATAAACCACGGTTAATTACTTTCAACTGGATTTAATAAGGGGGAATTAGATAATATCTTTGAACGTTGATTATGTTCTCATAATAATACACATCCAAATGCCAAGTTGATGTTACTGCTTTTTTTCATTGTATTGACAGAATTATGACTGCATATGTTACTAACTTTTTATTAACACATAGATACATATTTAATTTTCAATGTTTACTGAAACTACTTTTCATATGTTCTTTTTTTTCAGCTACCCTTTTCTTTTTTTTATTTTAAATTTTTTTATTGAGAAAAGAAGAAAAAAAAACATAAACAAAAAACAAGTTTCCCCCTCCTCCCAGCCTCCCATTTCCCTCCCCCTCCTCCCACCCTTCTCCTCCTCCCCCCACTCCTCTCCCCCTCCCTCTCCAGTCCACAGAGCAGTCCGGGTTCCATGCCCTGTGGTAAGTCCTAGGTCCTCCCCCCTCCGTCCATATCTAGGAAGG